CCCCCCCCCCCCCCCCCCCCCCCCCCCCCCACAGACTAACATTGTTGAAGTAAATTCAGATCTTTTAACCACAATTTCAAATTACAAGGCACTTCCAGTTTCAACAGGAAGGAAGGGTCACGTGATTTTGCACATATGTAATATTAAAAATTAAGACTCTAGATTATTCTATCCATTTCCGTAAAAAGCAAATTCAGATCTCTCACAGCTGAGCTTGTTAAACATTAGGCCTTAATCTATCTGTGGTTGCTGGTAATCTGATCCCTTTTACAACAGCTGTGGCTGCTGAATGACTGTTTTGACTTGACAAAGTACCGGTACTGTTTTAATTTGGTGGCTGGCATTTTCTGAATCATGATCCCTGTCAAAACAGCTGTGGGTCCTCTGAGAATTATCTGAGGCCCCCCCCCCCCCCTCAAAAAAAAACCCCCCAAAACCCCCAAACAACCCCCCCCCCCCCCCACACACACACAAAAACACCAAGGAAGTATTGTAATCCACAAGTAACTTTTCTCCTTTAAAATTATCTGAGCCCACCCCCCCCACAAATCACCCTTAAAAAAAAAAACCAGCACCTATATCCTTTGAATTATCTGAGCCACCCCCACCCCCCCCCCAAAAAGAAACAACCCCCCCCCCCCTAAAAAAAGACACCAAGGAAATAATCCATAATGTATTTACTATGAGTATAACTTAATTGTGGAACCTCTCGTTACTGTCCCATCTGTCAAAAACCAGTCGACTGATATTGACCCGCCAATTTTGTGACTGTTTGTGACTACTTGAAGAGCAGGAGGATTGATCTTTAATTGCATGTAATTTGATACATGTCATCATGCAGTCTTCGGGACACAACTTTAGTAATGATGTATGACAATAAAGATCTAGTAAATGCCAAAAGCAAACAAAAGAGAAGAAGAAATGAATGCCATTACGAATTGAAAAACACTGTACAAAATCTTGTGTGGTTTGGAATTTCCTCGTTTTTTCTAAATTGCCAGTTGCATGCATGTAAGTTCAAGAGCCGGGGTCTTGCCTAATTAATCAGCGAATCCATTCTATTACATGGACTAGGATTTAGCTGGGTTGGGGACCTATTTTTCACTTCTATTTTTTGTACAAATTCATTGGAATAAGATGAAGATAAATTCTGCAAATGTTTCGGAAAAAAAAAGCACTAGACCGCCGGACTTGTATTGTTTCAAAGCCGCAAGACCAAACAACAAAATAACTGGTCCATTGGGAAAATCGACCACACTTAATAAGTGTGGTCTAATACTCCCCATAGTACTAGGGTAAGGAGTAATGGACCACAAACACGCCTACATGTACATGTATAAAAACTCAGCTGGCACTGCGTAGTACAAATCAGAGAGTGAAATCTTAACCATAATCACTTTAATGTACATGGCTATACATCTCCCAAAACAACCCTTTTTGTTGTTGCCTTCTTCTCTCTTCATAGATGCATTCGACTAGGCCCAGACTATCCAAGTTCTGGTACTACGCCCGTGTGGAGTTAGTCCCCCCAATGCCGTCTGAGATCCCCGCCATTCAGAAGGGCCTCGGCGAAGTCGTAGCCAGTGCACGCACAGGGAAATGGATGAACATGACTACCAGGGTAGGTATTACTAGTGTAATGTCACAATATTGGAAACCAAAAGTGGGACATGAGAGATATGAAGCAAGATGAAAGCTGCATGCTGTTATAGTTTTCTCTTACATTGTCAGGAAAAACTAGCTGGAGTTACCCAGCCCTGAGTTTTATCATTGGGTTGTCACCTAGATGACAACCCAATGATAAAACTCAGGGCTGGGTAACTCCAGCTAGGAAAAACATTCCTTTACATATAAGAGGGAAAATATCGAAACGATAATTAATAGGTCAATATTGTTCACTGCAAGGCACATTATATGTATTTGGACAGTTAACCCTATTTTTAACCCTGTTAAGGGCAAAGGGGTGGGGGGCAGAATCCGCCCCCCCCCCCCTCAACTTTTTCACGCGATACCCTTGCAAAAATTGTTGTCCTGACTCCAGCTTTCCTGATTGTTTAGCCTCGAGTACGTCTTACGCATCTTTTGATGCCAATAACATAACATTCCGACCATGGGTTATCTAGTGTACACAAAGCAGAATACCATTGGTGCAATAATTAATTAGCCGATAATTCCAAAAAACCCCTAAACTACAGTCATGGAATTTTTAGGGTATGTTCATATTTAGTTGTTCTATGCATGCACCGGCCACGATTAATAATTTTTGGCACCCCCCCCCCCCCCATCTGCACGCACCCTTGTACTGATGAGGCAGCTAGTAGTATGGTGGGGCTGCATTTGGTGCTGTGGTGCGGGTTCACTGTAATATAATAAATATTATAATACTTAACTTTTGTAACAATTACAGGAAACCTTAAAACTGTTCAGATTCATCAACCAAAATAAATGTGTTTGAGCTTCACTTGACATAATTGCATTCATTATGCTCATGTAAGTTATCGCCCCAAAACCTTTGAAAACTTCACTTACAAAAGGTGCAAATAATCTCAAATCACTCAGAATACAGTTAATTGAATAAAACAATATAAAGTTACCGATTGTGTTGGAATCCGAATCTACAACATTTGGGACTGAGGAACCTTGATAATTTCACATGATTTGGGGAGATAAATTTGGTACATGTCAGTTATTTATGAATCATCAGAATCATTAAGTGTTTCAACTTTGACCTCACAAATGTACGATATCAAAAAAGGGCGCTATAACGAAAGTACACAAGAACCCAAACAATGTTACCGCAACAAACTTATTTCCCAATCAAAGGTATATGCGTGATCTCAAATTACAAAGTAAGAAAACACTTGAAATAACAACTGTGATTAAACCCAAATCAAATTTCACAACTTGCCGCTACATATAGCCGAATAACAGTGTTTGATATAGTGACTGTCCACTGTGCATATGTTTGTATGTAATTGGCAACTTCTTTCTTATAGTAATTAAAGGTATAGTCCATCATTTGTAATTTGTGCATTTTGTTCGTTTGAAGCAACAAAAGTGTTAAAAACCGAAAGAAGAGTGCTGAACAACTAACCTGATGAAGTTTCAGCTCAGCTTCAGCTATATATTTTGAGATGAACAGCATTCTATTTCTAGGATCTCGATTTCAAATCAAAAGTTGCTGTTGAATCATGTTTTGAATTGGGCCTGAATTCAGCGTCCGAGACACGTTCTCACTAGCCGATTGTAGCTACGCAATGTCGCACACCGTATCCGACGGATTATAGCAGCCCGCGCGCGTGTGCGTGTGCCAACGCTGGCGCGCGCTGCGCCGAATAAAAAAAACGAACTTCTAACGGAAATTTCCAATGGTGCGTCTTAAGACGCACCGTTGGAAAGGCCTTCTTTCGTTGATTTCTTCAAAATTACAGCTTGCCAGAGAGAATAATTTTACAGGGAGTTTAGTTCCCTTACTATCTTTCAACCAAGTGTGTTTGTCAACAATAATTACGCCAGTAACTTTTCGGAGAAGTTGCAAATGATGGACTATAGCTTTAAGTTTCCTATAGGTACATTATTATAGGGTGTGCATTTACGGGTAGTCAGGGTAGTACAAGAATCAGGTACCCTATTGAAAAAAAAAAACATGGGTTCCCGTTTAAAGAAATCCAACCCCAAAATTAACTCTCAGAAGTTGCTGTTCGCATGGTCGTCTGCTCAATAATACTACCTATCAGTGCGTCAATATAGCCAGATACAAGTGTGTACAGAGAGCTTTTTAGCTTTACAGTGTAAATTTGCATTTTCACAAGCATCAAAAAGGTGAATGTGTTTCATTTTCACTGTAGCCTGGTTTTCAATTAAAAATTCCCAATAAATGACATTCAAAATCTTTCTTTTTCATTGTCTGAGACATTGATAAGTTAGTATATGTTAAGTAAACTATGGGTACTCGATTCCATAATTTGGAACCATTCCTGACATCAGCTGTCGGGTACTTGGGTACCCTGTTCCAAAGCAAAGCCTGATACATTATCCATGGACAGTCAAAAATTGTATGTAATTTACAACCTTACCGGATTCAGGATGGAATATTGACTCTACAATTTTTATGTTTATATTGTCCGGCCACGTGGTAAAACAACACCCGGGGCCATCTATCGCCAGATCCTAGTATGACCATAGTACGTCCTTCAGAGGGGTGTCAGTCTTGTGATCATACTGGAGGGGCGGGTTGAAAATGGCGGGAAAAACCCTGTGTGCTTGTGCACATTTACATAGGCTTGTGTACAAATGCACTATAAACATTGGGATTATTTCGATCACCCTGTGACCAAAATGGAATGTCAAATGGGGGTTATGTCTGTGGTTTTAACACAGCGTTTGGGGCCTGAGAGATACTCCAGACATGCCAGAGGTTAATCTGGGGTGAATGGGCTGGTTGTCAGGGTCGGGTGGCTCAAATTACATGGTGAAGAGGCGATATTCCATACAGTCACTGGATAGTAAACATTAAAGGTGCTCGCTCCAGCATGGGAGGAAGGAACTTGAGGAGTAAGCGAATAAACCAAAAATAGTGTTTGTATCTATTTTTGGCTGGTTACATGTATCATATGGGAAAAAAAGTTTTTACATGTCATGCATCATGTATGTGAGCTTAATACCAAAAAGACATTTTAAATTCTAATCAGGCCCATTGCAATGGTAACAAAAAAAAGTAAAGGTAAAGGGGACGAACCTGTGTTCACAGGAACAGAGTGCCCATCTCGATTGTTAGCAAGTGGGCCAGACTCATATGCTGCTGTGGGGGGATCGCCACACCTCCTCCACAGCGAGTCTGTTACCTTCCCATGTGTTTAGAGGAGTAATTGAGGTAAAGTGCCTTACTTAAGGGCAAAACACACATGGCCACGGTGGGGCTCGAACCCACAACCTTACGATCATGAATCCTGTGCTCTACCGATAGACCACACTGTGCCCATGGTAACAGCCGTGTGTTTTTTGCCAATTGGGCCAATTAAACTAAAACAATTTTAGCTGTTTTTGTAAAAAAGCCTCCCAGCCACAATGTGAAACATTGTTACAAAAGTACATGTAGCTACTGCTATATATCTCTATATCTAGGCCTATATATCTCTCTCTTGCGAGCTCTAACTTTATTCCCCTGGTTATTTCCTACAGACACCTGTCAGCCGGTTTGGTGAGCAACATGAGCCAATGTGTGGCATGCATCATAACATGGCCATGGGAGATGGGGGAGCAGTGACAGCTCATGGAATGGCAGGAATGGTCTGGAACCCTGTAGCTGCTATGCAACTTCATGGCACCGATCCAAAGGTGGGTCCTGTCTCAAAGCTTAATTATGTCCATATCAATATTTTTGGGCTATACGTGTTTTGTGAGGCATTCTGGTAAAATGAGACAGAATTGGGCACAGGTTATAGTGAAGGTAAAATGCCAAAAAAAATTGATTCGGGGGATTTTGGTTTTGGGTGATTTTCAGATGTTTTGATATTCGTAAGTAAGTGAAAACATGTCTAAAATTCATGGAATACAAGAGTTTTTAAGGAAAGATAATTGCCATCTTTCATTTCCGTGAATAAAAAATTTGAAACCTTTAATACAGCTAGGTCCTTTCTCGGCATTTTGCTTTTGTGATATGTCGATAAAAAGCGAAGTTTAAAGTGAATCATAACTTGTCAACAGAATGTCTTATTGAAGTTAAACAGTATTGTAAGGAGAATTTTATTCTGTTTCCTAATACCTGCAAATCCTCATTTCAACTGGGGGGGGGGGGGGGGGGGGCTTGAGGTTACAATGGAGGGGTGCCCAAACATTTCTTCCTTCCATGCTGAAAGGTAGACAAGTTTTTTTCACCGGACACCTGTCCTCCATAAAATTAACAGTTGGCCTATCGTAGTGCTACCCTGTTTAGAACGCAGCATCAAAACCGCTATAACTGTAAATTTTATTGTGAATTCCGCTTTTCACTGAACAAATTTTAAGCGTGGAAACTGAATTACAGTTGATTTAAAAAAAAGAAGAAGTTAAGCTTAGGAAACTTTTGAGGATAGTTATCGGCAGAAACCCCAAAAGAAAACAAAAAATCAGCCTACCTCGTTAAAATAAAGCCAGCCATGCCACAACAATCAACGAATACAATTGTCTTAACAGATATTCTACTACTATTGTTGTTTTTTATGTATTTTCTTTTTAGTTCAAACTTGAATGCTGTCAATCACATCAAACCAACCTGCGTATCATACATGTACATGTACATCAAATAACGGGCATGGGAAAGTAGTATTTAAGCAGCATTGAAGCATTTTATGTAAAATCAAACAGGCTCACAGGCGTCACTAGGATATTTTCCAGGGGGGGGGGCAAAGTAAAAAACTTGGGTATCTATAAAAGCAGGTCTATATTAGTTTGGGTCAAAGTTCTCCTTTTCCCCCCCCCCCCCATTCCCTCCCCAAGCCCACCCCATTCCCTCCCCAAGCCCCCCCCCCCCCCTTCCCCGGCCGCGCCAGTGGACAGGTCTATAATCAAAGTTGAAAAGCAGCACAGGATTAGAACCAAAAACTGTTATTACAAGAGGCTTAAAACAATGTCATGCCTGAAGCCTGATAAACTGAAGCATTTTATAGCTGAATTTAATGTTTGCACCACCAAAACAGTAGTGTTCCAAAGTTTCTATATCATTAAACAGGGAAAAAAAATAATAACAAAAATAATATAAATGAAAGATAAGCAAGGAAAGAATTTAAAAGGCATACATAGCCTTCGCCTCAGTGCTTTGGTTGTAATTAATATGGGGAAGTTGTATGTGTAAAATCAGAAAGGCCGCCTATTGTTATAAGTTTGGGGAACGGCAGGAAATAATAGTAATAATCTCTACGCGAATCTTGAATTGAGGGACCAAGCCCGTTTCCCTCAGACTTGTGTTCCTGCTGGGATCGATCATCAGACATACGAGACACGTTTCTACGGAAGCGTTTAAGGGACATAATACAAACTAAAAAAAAAGCAAATCATAATCATGACTTATATATCATAATTATGACATATTATTAAGTCATTGTTATGACTTATACATGTATATAATAATAATGACTTAGTATTAAGTCATAATTATGAAATATCCAAAGTCGTAATTACGACTTAACACTAAGTTGTAATTATAAGATATAAGTCAAAATTATGACTTAATAATAAGTCATTATTATTAGATATCAATCATAACTATGACTTAATAATAAGTCGTAATTATGAGATATAAGTCATAATTATGACTTAATACTAAGTCATTATTATAAGATATAAGTCATAACTATGACTTAATAATAGGTCATAATTGTGACTTATTTTTATATTTTATATTTTTTTTTAGTTTGTATTATGGCCTTTTAATGCTTCCGTACTTTTCAGACGCCGTGAACCCAATATGATTATTAGGCCTCTGGTCGACCCGCACGTGCCGATAGCTTTTGGTTTAACTATCAGTTAACGAGCTTTATGTAGGCTAGGCATACTCGGGAAGGATCAAAGTTTGGCTAGGAAGATGGAGGCAGTAATGTGGGGTGCGTGCCAAATGCACTCGGCGCCAGGGTGACCGTTTAGCTGATTTTAGGCTAACTTTGACAGAATTTTTGTTTAAAAAACAAGTTTGACAGAAAATTTGACAGAATAGATTTTTTGGCAGATTTCTGGCAGAATTCTGCAAAAAAAAAAAGGTTATTTGACAGAAAAACAGCAAATTTGACCAAAAAATGGTACATTTGTTTAAAAAAGCTTCAATTCTTTAAAACAAACCCTTGCATAAGGGACAGGTTGGCTGGTCTAGGTGCTGAGGTTCACTGGGAAACGGACTTCGTCGTGGCCTAAAACTACAGCTGTACACATATATTTCTCATTAAGTTTGATTTTGGTTTTTCTACATTCAATTTCATTGTAGACGGCTCATTCATATCCAGGAATGCTCATCTTCGTTCAGCAACCACTGTGCTCGGTCTGGTCACCATGGCAACTGACCGGTCTCAGGGCCCCGCCTCCAGCAGCCATTGGTCAATATCGTCGCGTACCAATTCCAATCAGCAATGAGCGTAGTCGAGGGCGACGCAAGACACCTGTCAGCTTTGTTGTTGTACCTGTCAGTGATCCGGGTTACCCTGTTGGTTCACCAGGGAGTAGCATCTGGGCTTATACACCAAGTAAGCACAGTTTTACAATTAAATGTACATCGCACGCTTTCAATTCAATTTTATGATTTATTTAGTCTTATCATGTAAAAACATGAAACTTGTCTCCTCATTCTGCACACATATAGTCGTATACACATTTTCATCAGATGCATAAAAACTGACTATATCTGGAGCATCAAGATAAGAGCAATGTGAAATAGTCCCAGATTTTCTTGGCTCAGTATACTGGTACTTAAAGATCCTAATTGAAGGAATTATAGCCAAAGCATCCTTCTTGATTAAAACATGCTGTAAAAATCAACTCAGGGATATGATTACATTTACATTTAGGCCAGAAAAATGAATTTAAAAAGAAACTACTGAGATTTCTAAACCCAAATGACATACAGCACATGCGGATTAGCAAAATATTAGTTGTCATCCATCCAAGAGAATGTTTTCCTTAAAAAACTTCTTTGTCTTCTGAATTCCCTCCCCCCCCCCCCCAAGGAAGCAGCGGTGACAGGATCCTAAGTAGCAACTAAGAGAACATACCAGGCTAACTTCCTCCATCTAGACACTGTCAAGAGAGGATGGCTTCCAAATACCTGGTAAGCATCTCACCCATCCCCCCCCCCCTTCATCCATTGCAATCAGCATGAGTTCAGGACTTGGAAACAGTTTAAAAAAAACATCACATTTTGGGTCCAGAGTATACACGTCCGTTCAGTCCTATTCAATTGATTTAGTCCATTAATTGGTGTTACAGGTAATCCTATACAACAGCACTGCCCAGCTCACAAGTGACAGTGAGTCGATCCGTGAGGTACAAAGAGTAGGCTGGCCCTCTGGGACCAGCAAAAACTGAACAGCGATCATTGAGAAAATCAAATAAAGAAATGAAACCTCATGTACCTTGATGTACCTTAATTGTGTATCTCAAGACATTACTGAAATGTCATCATGCTTGCGAGCTCTAACTTTATGCCCCTGGTTATTTCCTACAGACACCTGTTAGCCGGTTTGGTGAGCAACATGAGCCAATGTCTGGCATGCATCATAACATGGCCATGGGAGATGGGGGAGGGGTGACAGCTTATGGAATGGCAGGAACGGTCTGGAACCCTGTAGCCACCATGCAACTTCATGGCACCAATCCAAAGGTGGGTCCTGTCTCAAAGCTTAAGTCCGTGTCAATATTATCAGGCTATATATGTGAGGCATTCTGGCAAAATGAGACGCAACTGAGCACAGGCCGTAGTGGAGGGAAAATGCAAGAAACAAATTATAGGGGTAATTGTTTGTGTTCTTTGCCGATTTTCAGATATAAGTAAGCAATTAAACAGGTAGTCAAAAAATCATGGAATACAATAGTTTTTAAGATAAGATAAATGGCATAGTTCATTTTCGCGAATACAAAACTCGAAAATTTACAGCTAGGCCTTTTTCAGGATGTTGCTTTGTTTACATGTCAATAAAAGCAAAGTTTAAAGTGAGCCATAACTTGTCAATGGAATATCTTACTGAAGTTAAACAGTATGGCCAAAAAAAAAAAGTCTCCGGTTTCTGGTTTGCGCGCGCGTCGCCGTAGCCATGCGCGTCGGCAAAATGAAAAAGTTTTTTTTTCAATACAAGATGATGTCTCAAAACCGCCAAACTCACTGGTTGACTGGAATCCTGCTGCTGCACAATTTTAACGTGTTTTTAGATGGGGTTATGATCGAGAATAAGCTTTATGTGGCCTCTCTGGACTCCCATATATTTGCACTAAGTTTAGTCGGGCACCATTTGCAGTCATCAGCCGACATTTGAAGCCAAAAAAAAAAAAAAAAAACAGGTAAAAAAAAAAAAAAACCACTTTTGGGGCAAGCTCCATACCAGAAACCGGAGACTTTTTTTTTTTGGCCTATTGTAAGGAGAACTTTATTGTTTTTCGTAGTACCTGCAAATCCTCATTTCAGCTTCTGCCCAGTTCTGTCTCATTTTGCCAGAACGCATCACATAATATTTTCATCAGTAACACGTGTCTATCACCTGCTTTCACAATAGGTGTATTATTGCCAGCTGCAGCAATTGGGAGACAGTTTTAAAACCTGGCATATCTAAGCACAAATTCCCTGAATGTTTACCACAAAATCCTTCTTCAAGGTTCAATGTATTTCTGATGTAGTGAATGCCCAAGTTTTGAAGTTGTTAAACATTAAAGGTCTAATAAAGTACCTGCTCAGAATTATACAAATATTGAGTGGCTCGGAGTGGAATGGGAGGAATATTATCGCCTGGTAAAATCTGGACGATAGCAGAGTGAAATGGGAAAAAATCAAGATTTTACCGAGCGATAATACTTCTTCCTTTTCACAATTTAAAGCCACTCAATATATGACATATACTGGTAGATCCTCGTCATTTGATTTACTGTTAAAAATTGGTGGGAAATGTATTCTCTTCCAAACCACCCCTTCACAAAATGTTTGAACCCAACTCTGAAGCTACTGGCTCTTAGGAACAATACACGCTTATCGTAAGGCTCATCGCGCACACCAGCATGCATTTGCAAGCAAAATTTGCGCAATGGAACAAGAATGATCCTAACTGTTCAATAGTATTCCCATTCCCCATGGGCGAATGGGACTTTTTGAGCCCCGGCGTTAATGGGAGCAATAATGAATGTCATGTCATGTCACATCATGTGATCCAACCAATCAAATGACAAGGATCTGTATGTCAGTTATATAAACTAAAATATTTCCAGAGAAACAGAATGAAGTGATAAGGTGTGTTGATTCAAAGCAAAAGAATGAAATATTCCCATCAATATCATTGTTTTGTTTGTTTTTAGTTTGCAGGGATCGGGGGCCCTAATAGTTGGACACAAACTACACGTTCTGAAACAGTATTTTCACATCATTGCATGTAGTTGGTATCGATCAGTACTACACCCCCAGTCACCCAACAAAACAATCCCCATTTTTTTACTTAAATTTTTTTTTTTATTAATTTGCAATTTTGTCTTCTATTTTCCCAGGTTTGGGGAGCACACTTCTCCATCCATACTTATAGAGGGCGCTGTTCATCACAGCCTGCAGCATCCTCAAGAGATAGTTAAGTTAATTATTTTTCTCAAATGTCCAGCAGCCATAGAGGGCACTATAATGCTACCTGGTTTGTTCACAGACATATAAACGCATAGACTGCCAGTCTGGCACTTGAAAGTGTGATTTGGTTAAGTACAGTTGTATATGGCAAATCGTTTGTTGACAGCATGCATAACTGTAACGCGGTGATGGTTCAATTAAAGCCCCAAACGCTTAGTATAATGGTATATACATTGAAATACAATTTATACATTATTTTGATAAAGGCTGTTTAACTCAGAACTTAGTTGTATGAAAATGTTGGGTACCGTGTTTAGTTCACAAGGGATTTGTTTACAATCAAAAACTAACTTCATAATTGTTTGTTCCACGTTTGACTGGAATTCTTCAATTGTGTGCAAAAACCCTACATACTAAGAGGTGAATTTGTCCACTGATTTTAGTCGGGTGCTTGGTATAAAATCACTAAATGCTACTGTAGTTCTGAATAGGACCTAGCGGTCTATGCGTGTATTTGTCTGTGGGTTTGTTGCCTTACTTGCCCAAAAAATTTGTTAATGGTATAATCACGAGAAAAGAATAATTTAACAAAATAATTAAGCCTTGGTTAAAATAAAAAGGAACAATTCTGTGAAATGGAAGATGATTGTAAACAGCAATTCGTTCTTTTATTTGACTTCATTTATGTTGAGCCAAAAAAAGCTCCAGTTTCTGGTCTGCACGCGCATCGCCATAGCCATGCGCATTGGCAAAATTAGAAGTTTTTTTTTTTCAAAGATGATGTCTCAAAATCGCCAAACTCACTGGTTTGACTGGAGTCCTGCTGCTGCACAATTTTAACATGTTTTTAGATGGGGTTACGATGGAGTGTAAGCTTTAAGTGGCCTCTCTGGGCTCCCATACCTTTTGCACTGAATTTAGTCGGTCACCATTTGCCAGTCATCAGCAGATATTTGAATCGTAAAAAAAAAAAAAAAAAAAAAACGCGTCGCCGCACCACTTTTAGGGCAAGCTCCATACCAGAAACCGAAGACTTTTTTGGGGGGCCTTACTGTAAACAAATTGAATTTGCTTTTTTGCTTGATTTTGTATGTTAAAAGATGATAAACTACCCTGGTTGACAATATGTTTTGTTGACATGTACATTACAACATCAAGGGTGACCTTTGACCTCTGTTGTCTCAATCATAGTAGTGTATCATTTAGAATTTCATTTCCATAGAGCAGTAGTGAATTATGAGAGCGTTTACTCCTCATTCCCTTGCACACTTCAAAGTTGTCTGAGCTCAACACAGTATGAAGAATGTACATGTAGCGAGATCAATGTGAAAGTCCTGTCGCCAGTATGAAATCAATATTTTTGGGTTTTGTGCACTTCTGTACATGTAGCTAAAATATATTTCTGATGCAGGCATGTGGTCTAAATCCCAAGTGAAAAAAAATCCCAAAAAAGTGATAAACAGTGAGAAAAATCCCAAATCTGTGCAACGCAAAGCACTGACGAATGAAATTAAAGTTACACTAACAGCTTTGAAATGTTTTAGAATATACATGTACAGGTACAATATTTTGAGCTAATTTCTATTGATTTTTGCACAAACATGGATGCATGCGCCCAGCAAGCTTCATCCTAGTCATATATGAATAAGCTCTCTAATATTTACTATAGCTCTATGGCCTGATTAAGTGCACATGTGCAGATACAAATCTAGAATAGCAGGGAGTGTGTAACAATTCCCATAGTTTTTCTTGCAACAATAAAATATAACACAATGGAGTGTGTTCAGTGGAAAAAAGTACAATCAGAATGCAAGTCAATTGAAATTTTGTTTGTTGATTGGTTGTGGTAACGAGGCCCGGATTCTCCAAAAGATCTCTCTCGTAGGACGCAATTTTTGTTAAAAAATCACAACTGAGTGTCAGGTACATGTGTGCATAGTGCTCCAAATGTTTTTAACACGCGCTCGTTTGCTCGGAATGTCTTCGTAATATGGCGCAACCGATGCGTATCACGAAGAATTGACAGCCAAAACGCTGATGCGCATGGCAATCTGTAGGAAGTGACGTCATTTGAGAGAGAGACCTATAAGCAGAGTAGGAACTATGTCTATAGGCCTACGAAAAATTAGGGGCCTATGAAAATACCACAGTGTGGCCTGGCTTGCTTCGTACAGCTTAACATCAACATGAAATTAGTGCTGTTGCCTAGTGCAGAGGTGTAAGGAACACTTATCCTGCTGTGGTCATGACAGAATACATGCATAAAAAAAAATAAAAAAAAAAAAAAAATAAATAAAAAAAAATAAAAAATAAACTATAAAAAGCCCAAATTCGAAGAGGAAGTGTCAAATTTAACATCAGAGAGTGTTAATTCAGTAAAAAAAAAAAGTACAATGAGAACTCAGTCAATCTTTAATAAAACAAACCACACTCATCCGGATGATAACTTGAGAAATAGCCATTTTATTCAAATGAAATTCCACAATTGATTAATTGGGACTTTTTTGTGAAGTCTGTAAAATTTCAACAGGATTTATCAAACAATACAGTTAATGTAGCCAAAACAATCGTGAGCAAAGTAAAATCAGAATTAAAATCAGCCCTATGCAAAAAAAAGCCAAAAAACCTACACATTTATTTGCTGTGATGTCTTTAAAAACCTACTTAATTTCAACAGCAATTGAAACCCCCCCCCCCAAAAAAAAAACAGAGTGAAAATTTCAATCAAAACTAAAAATTTTCCAAATGCGTTACAAGAATGACACACAAGTATGATGACGCTGGAAATACCTGTTGAGTTTAATTAAAATTGTATCCATTGATTGTTCATAAAGTCTTTATGAACCCCATAAAATTTCAAGAAAAATTGTGTAACTATAAAAAACGATTAAACGCGTACAAATGCAAAATAAAGTCAAAAGCCGTAGAAAATTTAACCTTGCATTTATCATGCATTGTACCAAAAAGTCTTGCACAATTCCTAAATGAGTAAATTTCTTCACTTTTCTACGCTCTTTAAAATTGCTGCTTGAAGCTACTTCAGAAAATTGCAAAGTTGAACCATTACTTCTAAAAAAAAAGAAAAAAAATTCTTATATTTTCACCGGCACCAGACTATCATGTGACCTCTAGAAAACCTCGACAAGAGAGGGCGATTAGGCCATACAAAATCACTGAAGCATGAAAACTTATTCTGACGGCGCGCTACACGGTCAAGTGAGGAAGGCCCTTCAACCAGGTTGTATCAAGACCCTCATGCTAAGAAGTCTACATCCACCTCACACACCACTAATAACCAGCAATCATATACACGTATGGTCTTTATCAGGCATCAACAAGTGCAGCAGTCTCCAAAAAAGGAAACAGGCTAACTACCAGTCTGACTGGTGATTGGCTGCGAAGACTGATCTGAACTTTCAGGACAGGGCAGAACTTCAAAAAAGAAGTCCGGGTATACAATCCAAAATTTAGTCCAAGTAATTAGAAATGATATTCCCAAATCTAAGTCCAGCCCAATAAACTCCAAGTCCTGCAAGCCCAAAGACACTTATCCTAAGCAGCAATAATATCGCGAACTCCAAGTCTAGCCCCATTACCATGATTACCTCTGAAAAGTCTAAGTCAGCCCCATTACCTCTAAAAAGTCTAAGTCCAACAAGCCCAAAACTTATATAAATTCCCAACCCCTCAACTTGCAGAAATTGGGAAGCCCATCAACTAATAGTCCAGTTCCCTCTCAACCATCAACCAGTCAGCCCAAAGTCCCAAAGCCTACCCTCCAGCTCCAAACCCCTTCAGCTCCCAACTTCTCAACCTCCCAGCCAGACCCTCAGATCTGAAAAAATTTCAAGGGGTACCCCTTGATTTCTGAAATTCTGGCCAAAGCTGAAAAATTGTCTAAGTCCAACAACCTAAGGGTTTTAATTACGAAAACCGGATAAATTTTCAAGAAAGTGCCATGGCAGAGCGGAAAAAGAGAGAGCTGGCATGCAGAAGGTACGCGGTTCAACCCTGCTCCATGCTACTATTTTATTTAATTTTTTTAATTTATCACTGCTGTGAGGAAAAATTCTCCTCCCGGGTCCCCGGCTGGATTTGAACCGGGGACCCGGCGCCTGGCGGTCAGCGAGCTAGACCGCCAGGCCACTGGCCTCTTCGAAAATTTGTTCTCGGAACTTATATTTAAAGGTAAGATTGCGCAATTTAAAAAAAAAAGAAAAAAATGGCCGCCTTCATTTGAATAAATGAATAATAAAAAGCAGAAAACTGAATATTCAGAAGGAACCACCACAGGTCCAAAATTCTGGTTCTGAAATTTAAATATTTATTCCATACACTTATTGTAGCTTGTACACTATTTTGAAACGCATTTCACCGGTTTTTTTTTTAAAATTAATATTACAGTTGTTTTTAAACTTAACTTCATGTACATGTATTTACAAATAAACACCATTCTGTTTAATATGATGAATGTAAACATTAATTACTTCCCTTTACAAGATTCTAAATTTCTTAATGCTTAAGTAGCCAGTCCTACTTTAAAATGGTTACTAATATTGATTCTTCTGGGGGGGGGCACACAATTTGTTTCTATAAAAGGGCAAACTTTTGTTTGAATGTGAAAATGGAGTTGTTTAAGTTCACACCTACATTTTACTTGAGGGCCATCCTTAAATTGTCAGTGATTTTTGCCTACAGCATCTTATTCTTAAACAATATTTGCTTTTCTAATTCTTAAAGTTATAACCACTTCACAATTTAATACAGAGAGACACCTTATTTCAGGAATACGTTCTAGTACAACTAAATTCAAATAAGTTAAACTCTGATTACAACACGTTACACATACATGTAGTATATGCATACTGCCCTCTATAGACCGTCTAACAGTTTTAACTGTCTATCTGGCTAGATATTCATGCCAATTAATTTTAGAACGCTCAAATTACTTCATGAACACTATCCATTTCCCTTTTCTTTCCATAAATTTAAGGATATCTTAGACAGCAAATATGTAGGGATCTTGTTTCCACCCATAACTTTTCCCCATTATGAATTTAGTTTCACAAAATGTCATTTTACCAAAAAAAGTATCAATCGTATATTTGGAAGAAGTTACTAATGTTTAACTTTCTTGTTTGATTACAACTTTTACATCACACAAATTTGGTTTCATTTCAATTTGACATGTAAACCATATCTTACACCTTGTAACAAAGCACTATCATCATGCTAAGTGGATCATGCATTAATTCATTCATTAAGCAGCCATCAGCAATTCATGGGCAAAAGAGGGCGCTGCTCACTGAGACTAGTTTTTATTTACTAAAACTAGGGTGTCCAACTAAACATTTACAAAATTTCATTTAATTTTAGGAGCAAGCTCTAATGTACAAACAAATACCTCAATTGTTTATGCACTGATGTTTTAGGCGTATTGTTTCATTTTATTATTACATTGACTACTTGAGTGTACAAGTTGTAATGCACAAATGGCTTACTACAATACTTTGCATGGATTGCACTTTTCAATATACATAAATATAGATGAATACATACATGAACAGAAATATGACACCCAGTAACTTATTGGGCAACCAGAAAATCTATAGTTTTAACAAGTATATGGGCAATTCCATGCTGATCGACAGACATAAGAGACATTCGGCAGGTTTCAAATTCGCATCAATATCGCGTATTCAGAACAATATTACATGCGACGTCATCACATTGACATAGGTACTGTAACTTCAAATTTCTATATTTTCACTAACCGTACTCAAAATACGTCATTACAATGTGTATCAACTTCTCATTTTGGATATTGTGCCCGACATTTCGAATTGCAATTAGAATTGGAAGCTCTTAAGAGTATTAGGTATTTACCCCCAATATTTTTACCCCCCCCCAAAATATTTTTCAATATAGATTTTTCAATATATAGTTTCGAAAGATATTGCCCTTTTCCATTCAAATGCATTTTTTTCACCATCGCCTACCCCCCCCCAATATTTTGTAAAGAGTGCCTTTTGTTGCCCGTTAGTGTGTATAATCATCGTTTTTTAGCATCAGCACCATCGACAGATTGGTACCAGGGTCCACCCCCCACCCCCCCATTTTACAGAGGCAATGTCCCGAGAAAAAATGTGTCTACAATTCCACACGAATATGCAAGTGCCCTTTTCAAAAATCCCCCCCCCCAAAAAAAAAAATCAAAATGACTTTCCTATGTCACTATATTCAGTACACATTAACTGATGCGTATAATTGTTTTTTATATTCAGTACACTTTATCATGACCGACATTTAAAAACCATGCAGGAAACAACTGATAGAACAAATTTAACGTTTCTCTTCAAGTTGACACATAATTTCCATTTATTTATCATAGCCATATAATAATATCATTATTTATCATATAATTCATGTGCGTATATGGAAAATTTAAATTTGTAATCAAATGAGAAACTAGACGTTATTGGACATTAACAGACATCAAAACTTGTTCAGGTTCGGCTTTTATTTTCTTTTATATCAAACTGTGACTGTATGCAAGAAGAAATAACTTTTCAGATCAAACCTTGCAGCGGTATTTAATAGAAAATCTTTCAAAAACTTGTACACTGTCAGGACCTCAAAATAAAGCAGATGAAATAAGAAATTTGTCAAAATAGCCTTAAAAATATTAAAAGTTATCTCCATTAATAACTGTGTGAATAGACTTGCATATTTAATACATGTCATATTAATATTTTCGTTGTTAACAATTTGAGGTCTCAAATTCCAACCTCAATTTTAACTACTTTTTCTCAAAGTGTTAACTCCTGCTCACTTATTAAAATCCTCATGTTCTTTTCTTTTCTGTTTATTCCTCTTTCTTTTGTTCCTCTTGTGGTCTTCATACAATCCTTTTCTTCCAAATTTGTTTCTGCTGTGTTGTTCTCTGTGCTGCTGTAATTAAGTTGCAACCTGGGTGTATATCTTTCCTGAAAAATATGAAATATTCAACACAATTTTTAGTATTTTGTACATGTTAACATTAACACAATTTTAATTCCTGTTTCTGTAGCACTTCCTAAGATATCCAATGAACCAACAACAAATATAAAATCAACAAATATAAAATCAGCCAACGTTAGTAATAAGGAATTATGAATATTAAACTATTTGGTGCCAAACAATAATTCAGTTCTCACAGGGAAGACTTCCCCCACCCCACCCCACCCCATCAGAATGGACAATGATAGACTACTTGTGCCCAAAAGCAAAACAAATATATTTTTTATTTCATTCCTCAATTATGGAGTACAGACTGTGCAATAATGTGACTGCATGACATTACACATGCCCAATACTATTACAATATTTCATGGCTGGCCTAAGTATAAAAACAAAAACTTCTGACAAATCGTTTTTTAACACTTCTGAGAACTCAAGCTAAGGAAAGTTAACTGAATATTTCATTGGTTAGGAAATGTAGCCATTTACATAAAATCACTTTTGATGGCTTTCAAATCATTCAATATATATCTCATATTACAAGCAAAATCTGACTAAAATTGAAAACTGAAAAATAACATCCATTTTCACAAAGACGCCTTCAAAACGGTAACATAGCAAATTGAAATATAACTGTATAGATAGCAAAAGACTAATTAAAAATTCCTCACCAGTGCATCCATAAGTCATCATGACGTCATTGCAGACTTTGATGTGATGGTGTACCGTACGTAACTCACAAAACAGTGCGCACATAGGACTAGACTATATTTCAGTTTTAAAAATGCCACGTTATATTGTGTCTCTTCAGCGAATCAAACTTGAACAAACGATAAATTTGTTTATTTTTTGGTCTTGTGTGTCAACCAGCATGGAATTGCCCATTTAACCTTTTTTTCTCATTTAACAGCCTAGTACATTCTAAATAGGCCCAAGGCACCTTGGATGTAGTTTCTCTGATGTTTGATGTCATCACAAAGTGGTGCAGTTTCAGGGCATTCCAGGATCAAGAGCAACGTCTTCTTGGTAAGAGCAGGAAAACCTGAAATTCAAGATAAAATATTAAACAAATAAAATATGAATAGCATACGTATATACATATTATAGTTAAGGATTTTTAGGTCATAATTTTGCAGACTTTTGTAGTTTTTGAGGCTCCACTATGTTGGGAGAACCACTATATATAGGGAGAAGTTTGGAAAATAGAATTTTGAAATTTAGCTTCATTTGCATTCATATTCATATCAATATTTTAGCATGAATTTATAATCAACCCGTAATTCACATAAATATGGTTGCAAAAGCAAGTATCAAAGTATATTGAACAAGTTTTCAGCTCACCTGAAACACATGTGTTCCTCTTCCTACATGATGACAGGCTTTCAACGAATTTTGATAGAGGACAAGTTGGGACAACCACTATATATAGGAAGAGGTTTGGAAGATAGAAGTTGGAAATTTAGCTTCAGTTGCATTCATATTCACAGCAAAATTGTAGCATAACCCTAACTCCATAGCATAATTTACTAGGAACTGTAATACCCATCCTGGCAAATTCCAACACCCACATGGGAAATTATACACACACACTGTTGGACTTAGTTTCTGGAGGTATGCCAAAACCCAATGTAAAAGACCATCAGTACTGCACCCATTCTAACAACACCTGCTGTTGGGCTTTGATGGGTTGAGTTCCTGTCGGGTTAATTTATAATCAACCCGTAATTAATTCACATAAATATTGTTGCAAAAGTAAGTATAAAAGTCCATTGAAAAAGTTTTTAGCTCACCTGAAAGACATGTGCTCTTCTTTTTGTGGTACTGGTAACAGCCTTTCAACGTATGTCGATAGAGGAAAAGTTGTGACAACTATAGGGAGAAGTTTGGGAGATAGAATTTGGAAATTTAGCTTCATTTGCTTTCATATTCACAGCAAACTTATAGCATACATTTATATTCAACCCATAATTCACATAGATATTGTTGCAAAGCAAGTTAATTGAGAAGTTTTTAGCTCACCTGAAACATGTGTTCCTCTTCTTGTGCTAGTGTGACAGGCTTTTGATGAATTTTGAGAGAGGAAAACTTACTCATCCGGTCCTGTCTTATCAAAGAATGTGCAAATAATATAGATTAGTTATGCACGATAGCTCAAAATACTCGTAAGGCTGCAGATGTTTGCTTTCAGATTTATTATCCGGAGCAAATGACTGACCTACAGAGGCAATCAAAATGGTAACCAAATGCGATTTCATGTGATGTGTCGAAAAGTCACTTGAGCACACAGAACGGAATGTTACAGAATCAGCGAACATTAACCTTAGTGTTCACAACGCAAAGAGGTGCTATGACAATATCTTGGCTATGTGACAAGCCCCACCAGTGAAAGTTAATTAACAAGATTTGTTAGTGTCGTAGGCCAATTACATGGGAACCTGATTGTGTTCTGGTCATTACAGATGGAATAATCACTGTGTCAGGTGCACGAGAGAAATCTTGATTGTCTGCAAAGGTTTGTCATCAAACGAAACAGGTTTTACAAAGTCAATACATAAAGTGTTTGTGCATCGAGTAATGGCAAACTGTTTGATTGTGTACGGTCATTGTGTGCTTTGAGTGAAGCCTTGAGCTTATATAGCATTATTATCTTTCAATGATACTCTGAATGACGAGCAGTGGTTTGAAGAAGTTGTATGTTGATTGACAGCCAAGTATTTTTGAGAGGGTGCGAAAGAGGGCTGATTCAATTTACCAGCCGCGGTCGCTTGTCACAGAGAGTAATTTACTGGGGTAAAACTCTCGGGCAGCAGCCTGCAGAGCAGTGGTAATGCTTTTGGAGTGCATCTCATACATGTGACTACTGAGCTGGACCAGCAGCCACAGAAACCAGCCATCCTGAACAGATGGCTATGGGCTCAGTCCTCTGTGCCTTCCCAGATAAAGACATCCTGGATGATGTCTATGAACCCTTGCAGCGCACTGACCCAGGCCAACACAGTGCATACATGTATAGCATATTGGTGAATGCTGTTAAAAAGGATTTTGTAGATCGAGCCACGCCACATACATATTTTCCCGAATCCAGCGTGCACCCCCCACAATGGACAACATATCAGGTGGGTGAGCTCAAAGCAGCCCTCACCAGGCCTAGCACTCTTCTGGGAGTCACTGATGAGAGGACAGTCTTGCACCCAAATGAGTCAAAAGGCTGCCATCAGCAACTTTTACAGGCATGACTGCAGGGCAATCAACCGGAAGTTGGCCGAACACGCTTGGTCGCCCTTCTTGTACAACAGTTAACCTTGGTAGCTGTGTTCCAAAAGATGGGGAACCAACCTTCATGCAGACACTGATTACACATCGCCACTGTATCTCAAAATGCACTGTCTGCCAATCTGATGTGATGATATCTAAGCCGGTCTTTCCCAGGTGCGGAGTTTGACATCCGACCTAGTCTGGAGGAAACCTCCGTCTGCAAAATGGGGCGTAGCAAATCTGAACCAGACTCCCAAGCACAGGCCCAGTCAAAAACAAGAGCTCAGAGTCAGCACTGAGTCTATTACCATCAACCGCCCTTTCTGGATGAACTTCAGCAATTACATGTACATGTAGTTTGCTAGTGTTTCCTCAGTGCTAGCATATCTGACCTCAGAGCTATCGTGGACTAATGGATTGCCTGTCTGATACAGGACCTGTAAAGCTTCTAAAGCCTGCTAGCCTCATGCACATCGAACTCTGGCCTGCATCGCCACAATGTCGCACTGCACCACAATGTCTTGCACTGGGCGGGTTCATGGTATACACTGATTATCAATGGAGCTGGACTAGCCAGGGCAACCACATTTTGAGCAAAACAGCCAAACACTGACTTAAACTCTCCGGCATTAAAACAGCACCACCAGCCATGGATTAATTCTCCTCCTTCATGGGCATTGAAGCCTGCGGTCTTGGCAAACCCCGACTCGGCAGTGCAGTCCCCCTCGGGCCCTCAATCCGGCCTGCTTCCTCACCCGTGATGATATTTGAGCAACGCACATCAGTCACAGGGTTTTGGGCGCACCACTAGCACATACCCTCATCCATGTTATGGCAACCCCGAAGGGTCCCCAGCGGAGTGTTGGAGCACCAGGGCAACTCCCTCATCTATGTTAAGGGAACCCTGGAGGGTACCCGATCATTCAACCGTGGAATGTTGTGGAGAGGAGTGAATGGCCAGATCTGGCTCCAGGTACGGGCTATTAAGTCCCTCATCTATCTGCAGTCATGAGGATCGAAACACAGAAAGCTGGGCCGGGGTAACATTCGGTACAGTCACAATCAATGTTTCACCAACCAAGCCTACGATAATTAAGGTCCATCAGGGACATGGGCTCTTGAAGTGCTGTATCCCCAGGCGAAGGTGTGGTGCATTTTGAGAATGCAGGAGGGCAGTCAGTAAAGGGTCCGGGGGGGGGGGGGGTGCTGAATCCGACCCCTCCCCGCAACTTTTTCCGCTTTTCCCAGGCAATTTTTTTATTTTGCGACCGAGCTGTCCTGAGTTTTTAACCCGAGTATTGTGCATCTTTTGATATCAAAAACAGAAAATGCGGGCCATGGGTTGCCACGTAGCGAAAACATTCGCCGCTACCATAATTCCAAAAACCCTGTGACCTATAAAGTCCTGAAACTTCTTGGCTATGTGTATATTAAGTTGTTCTATGCATGTATATACATGTAGTTTCATAATTTTTCATCACAAGATCCCCCCCCCCCCCCCCCCCCGGTCTGTGAGATGGTCAAATAACCCGGCCCTTTTAGGGTTAAACCGAACCACAATGCTTGTGAGTTTGGTTGTGGTTGGAAACATGTCAGCCCAAATCCAACTCCAGCCGACACGAGGAGCACCAGTAGACAGTATGCTGCTGGTGTCGTGTCATAGTCTGCTATGAGTGGTAGCTCTCCCGACGCACAACACAAAAGACTTGGTCTCGCTCTCCACAGATCTCAAAGGCTGCAGATTTAAAATGGACACATACCAAGTGACAATGGAGACTAGAAGACGTAGGGAACAACCTCATCAAGCACAACGTACAGGCCTGGCCTGAAGGGTTCCTGAACATTCCTCTACGGAGTGTTGGGCATTTCTCCAGTCTGAACCTTCATCTGTGTTACGGTTCCCCCAACATGCCCAAGGGGTTCCAAGCATGCATCCACAGAGTGTTGGGCCGGAGCTGGGGCCCTCCCCTCATCCGCATTAAGGTTGCCCTGAGGGGAGCCTACATGTAAGCGTTCCTCTGCGGACTGTTGGGGATTGGCTGGGTAACAACTGTCGTCCAGGAGCAAGTCTCCAAAGTTGTTCTCCATCATCCAGGTCCTGGACCCTCAGATTTTTGACCATCACAAGGAAAGATAGAATGAATTAAACTGATAAGAAGAGAAACTACACGTGAGGAGGGAGGGTGTACGTAGCTGCATTCAGTTGGATCATTGAATGTACAGTTAATGGTATCAGCTGGAGTGTACACCCTACTCGAATGTCAGTGGTAAATCACAAAATAAAGTCCATCAGTTGGCGAATTTCACATGGAGAGTGCAGGTCGTATGATGCCTTGAATGCATACGTGAGTGGCTTGAGAATTTGTATTGACATGAAAGTGGGGCATCTTACCAGCATTTCGCAAACATGACGTATGTTCAGGATTCATGGCAAAATCACTATGTGGTTCTTCACTGAATTGGGTTTGCAAGAGAATACAACGCATTGCCAAGCATTGTCAATTAACTCTTACTTAACCCTTACCCTACTAGACCCTCCAACGCATGCCAATATGTGCCTCAAGAAAATCTCCTATGTTTTTTGCATGGCCCTCCAATATCTGCCATGTCATTTCAAGGGTAACTGGACAGGCACTCCAATACATGCCACAGAGAACAATGAGAGTCCTCTGATAACAAAGTGAGTGCCCCCAGCTGGTCAGTATCAGGCACCCTCCAGGGCCTCCAACTCCTGCCAATTGGAGCCTTCACTGTTAAGACGAACTATCTGCCAATAAACTGCAGCTGGAGGGCATTGGCATAACCAACTGACATGCAGTAAACTACCCTCAGAAAGTAAGGGTTAAAGGGCTATATACTCCAAACATCTGATGCATTAGTCGAAAGATACATGTACGTCAGTGTTATGCTTAGGATGAGAGGATGGCAATGTTCATGAGAGCTGACAAGATCGATGTTGTCCAAAGCTGCTACAGCTGCGTAAGTCCAACACTGGCTTTTTGACTATCCATGTGATATCATGATTTGGGTGAGCGGTTGGAGGATGACGGCTGCATGCGGTATGAACTTTAACATCATGTTGCATTCAACTAATGTCAGGGTCTCCCATTACTGTACCTACAAATACTTGCGAATCTGCAGGCAATAGTTGCTTTCAAATGTTTTATTATGGGGAACAAGTAACTGACTTAACGAGGCAAGTGAAATGGTAAATAAGTAAGATTTGAGGCTTTGCATGGTGGAGATACTAAATAATGAAAGGTTTGCGGAAACACCATGTGCGAATAATTTCTCAACTAAGAGAATGGTTCTGAAAAGAACCAGAGGTATAAACTCGATGTTCCGGTCAGTATGCTCTGACCGTCTTCAGGAGAGTGCCTAAACTCTAAGAAAGAGAATACTTAAGTAGCAAAGGCGAAGTCAATGAAGTGAGAAGTTGCATCCTGTGAGGATGCCAAGTAGACAGGATCCTAGAACAAGCTTGGTGCCCACTGAAGTGGAACAGTAGGGTTGCAGTGTCAGTAGAGGGAGGACCTAGGGTATAGAAGACCCATCAGTCTAAGGTGGTAGCTGAGGACCTAGGGTATAGGAGACCCATCAGTCTGGAGAAGTGGGAGCCAGATGTCGTTGAGGTGAAACCCGATGTCTTGCGGAACTGTGTTGTGCTTGCGGATCTCGATGGCTTCCCGTATGCGTCTTGGATGCCAGAACTGGATTAACTTTGTGGTCGTTGATGTGGGAATGTTTGACAATGGCCGATTTGTCAAAATCCCCTCGCCGTCCATGTGTTCTGTGTTCCTTGAGCCTAGTGGGAAGGGTCCGACCGGTTTTGCCGATGTAGACAAACAAGATACACACATGTGCTAAAAAGACATGTGAGCCTGTAACGTAAGCAGCGTCAATTGATATTACTTGATTATCCGATCTTATGTCCATATCAATATCGTCGCTTGCAATTTTTTAATATAAAAATATAACACTTTTATCGAAGATATCAAACATGCGTAAGATTATCGTCAAAATAAATCTGTGCTTTTACTTTGTGATTAATGTTTGCTGTAATATAAAATAAAACTTGGCGGCAACATTGTGCTTGCAATTAAAAAAAAATTGCAAAATGCCAAGCCACATCGCTTTGTGCTCTGCATTTGCTGGAATTTGCAGTCCTTCCCAATGTAAAACCTCAAAAAGAAACCGCCCGTTCTGGACAGTGCTGAGATTGTTTTAAAAAGTTTTTGCAATATGCTCCAGAGAAAGCCGTGAAAAACTTGGACTTAACTTCTTCTTTTTTATGAAATCAAAGTGCCATCTTTGTGTTTTTTAACTTTTACAAGGGATAATCGATGTATCAAATATTCTCAATATCGGATTTCAGATATATGGATTATTGACAATTCTGGTGCTGTACTGTACACAGAATGGAAAGTTCAAGCGAACTTTGTCCTTATTGTTAACAGAGCTGTCTCAAGAGGGCACACAAACAATAACTAATTGGCTACCACAACGCTCAAGCAATGCATGGTGCAAAAAACCTCTACTGATCCATTTCAAAATACACAGGTACTTGATATAAGTGTCCAGACACTAACATATAGGTTTTATGCAATAGTTATTTGATAAGGGCAGGGAATGCCCAGCACAGCCCATCATTAACTTTGTCTTGCTGAAATTAAATTTACCAGTAATTTCTGAAAAACAAATAATTAAACTAACTTCTAAACAAGCCCAAGACATCTTACAGTTACCTGATAAAGTGGTGCAGATTCACGGCATTTCGGCATCAAAAGCAGCATCTGGGTTACTGATGAAAACCTGAAATTGAAGTTAAAAAAGCAAAACTAATATGAAACCTACATGTAATGCCATAGATGATGCATCATGTTTTTGTGTGTGTAATTTGGTATTAGCTTTTGTCATTTTGAAGCTTTGCATAGTTGTCAGTACAACTACAGTTTTGCATAAAACAATGTATTTGTATTAATAATTTTTTTCAACTTATGTTGCGCTCTTATGTTAAAATTCCTGAATAAAAATAATACACACAATTTTTTTTTACGTACATGTAAAACACCGAAGCATTTCAAACACCACTGACTAAATTAAAAAACGCTACATATTACACTACAAAAAATACTCTACAATAACTGACATTTGAAAGTACACTGGAAAAGAACAAGTCTTGCTTTCAAGACGTCCTTAATTAGCAGTGCGATGTTTCAGCGCGTGCAAGGGTTATTGGACTGTGCAGCAATGCACTGAAGCTGGGGCACTTATTAGCACACAGCGCAAACCATCCACAAATTAAGGACGTCTTCAACTTCGTGTTTAGAATTGAGAGTGCATTTTCATGCGTGCGTGACATAAGCATACAATGTATCTGCTTTCTACACGTAGGCCTGCTGCACTTTTCCGAGTCACTCGTGTTGCTAGTGAGTCTGTAAGCATTGTTGGATATTAAAGACACGTGGACGAAGCAATCAATTTGGCAGCAAAGAAACTGGGCCTTGGAAGGAAAAATCAGTGGTCTTCATCAATTTGAACGTGGCCACTGACCTACAGATATGGTCCCTACTTTGAATGACGGGTCTACTAAACTTTCTTCCTAAGCATGTCATCCTTAGCTTGTTGTATCCCGTCATGCTTTGTTGATCCACTCGCACCTATTGAATGATTACATTTAACTCTCTCAGGTTTATGCATTCACCCGATCAGGAAAAAATGATTACATTTAAATCTCTGAGGTTTAGGTATTCTCCTGATCAGGAGAATGCCTAAACCTGAGGGAGTTACTCATTAATGGGTGTATGACGGTTCCTGTGTGGATCAACAAAGCATGACAGGATTGCAGCCTTAGGATTGCATACTTTTTTCAAATTTTAAGTTTTATGATGGCACTCTGAGTGCACTGATCTAATATTCACTTAATTAGTGCAGTTCTTCTCGGAAAGTCTTTTAAGGGACTGTCACTTTACATGGTGTATCAACAACATGTATCCCTAGTAGTTTCTATCATGCTGCACATCGCCTACCTATATAGCTAGGCATAGTCAGCATCCAGGACCTCTCCCATCAGACATCAGCTTCGTTGGCTTGGACATCACCTCCACCCTCTGGCTACCGACCTCCTCAGTTGCCATGTGCTTTGCCCTTCTCAGTTGCCATGTGCTTTGCCCTCCTCGGTAGCCATGTGCTTTGGCGTCCCTCCCAGGCATGCCAGGCAGATGGCAGAGAGGTTGAAAGAAGCTACTCTTCGATGAGCATGGATGACCCTAATGTCCATCATAGGCCCCTGGAAAATGGACATGTCGTAGAAGACAGGACAATTAACTGGTGAAAGATGCTGGTCGTCGCCTATCAGCAACCTCATTATACCACAGACAAACAAAAGGAGATAATTAACAGAAACATGCTAATAGCCAAAAACAAGTTTACTTAATTGGACTCACAATTCAGGGATTGAAAAAAAATGCATCAAAACTACATGTATATTTAATTCCACAAACAAGGTGAAACTATCCGCATAAAATGTACATACATATGTTCATATGTTCATGTGTTTATCATGAAGATGAGTCTGGATGAATTTGGCCCCATATGGGGCCAAATTAACATCCCCTTTAATACATGTATGGGTAAGCCCATTGCACAAAAAAGGTGATGCCATAGTTCGGGACTGAAGAAAACAAAAGAATTGTTTTGACAACTTTAATATCACTGAAAATTATTATTTTATATGGTAAAACTAAACAATTTAAAAATTGAATATTCAGTTGACTTTATTCAGGTCCAAACACATATAATTTTACAATGATGAGTAAGTGGCCCGTAAATTAAAATTGAACAAGTTTTTAGCTTACCTGAATGTGTATCCTTGTGTTCCTCTTATTGTTCTCACAAGAGGCATTCAACAATCTTTGAGAGGAATAAAAAAGAAACACAAAATCAGCCTGCCTTTTTTTTCATTGAAAATGCATCAAGCTGATATCTGTTCAAAAATCTGATCTCTTTTCACCCACTGATCCAATCAAAATTATGGATACTAGTGACTAACTTATTATTAATTTGCAACACCAGCTTCCAAAACTCTTCAGCTTTTTGACACTAGAATTGGCCCGCTGGTAAAGGAATAATTGGAAAATATTATAAGCCGAGACCATGCAACTTAACCCTATTACCACTCTGAATCCATCAAAATCCATTCGCCTGTTTTGGAGTATTTCGGCGGATTCAGCTACAATACCTCCACATTGAAAACAGGGGGATTTTGATGGATTGAGGATTGTAAGCCTAGCAGTACCACAGGATTTTGATGGATTCAGGATACCTCCATACTCAGAGCAGTCACCATCACCAACATTTGTATGCATGACACAATAGGTGGATTCGTGGATTCAGGATACTTTCTAGTAAAGATATCCAGGGATTAAGCCCGGTTCATACTCTGCGCGAAAGCGAAAGCGAACGCGAATTTGTGACATTGTGGCAAGTATTCGCGCTGCGAATTTGTAGAAGTTGAACATATTTCAGCTCGGCGAATTTCGCAACGAATGTTTTATGACGTCAAATTCGCTCGCATTCGCTTTCGCATGAAGTATGAACCGGGCTTTAGGGTTGATGATTTTCATGTAGCTACCTTGTAATTCTACTGCCCTCTTAAGCATGTGACCAAGGTTGATGGGGGTGAAGTTGGGTAGATTGGGTTCCTGTCAGCCTGATTGAAGATGAGGACACTTGGAAAAAAGCAACAGACATTCAATGGCAATTACAGGGTTCAACCTTAACTTTTTTGTTCAGTAACCAGCTGGGCTACTGAAACAGACTCTTAACAAGCCCGCGGTCATTTTTACAAGCCCGCCTTTTTTTGTCTTATCTCAAATACATAATGGCGTATTTTCAGGCTCAATTCTGAGGCAAATTTGCCAGTGTTTTTGATAAACAGTTTTGATAATTTAACCCTTTAAAACAGTTGCTAAAATTAGACACAAATTGATGGGGTTTTCTTTCTGAATTTAATGATTTATTTCTTGATGTACTTTCATCTTTGCCGTTTCCCAATAATATTCACTCGCCAGCCGGGCTGGTTAAGAGTTTGACTAGCCCGACGCTGTTAGACTAGCATTTGGCTAGCGGTCTACCGCTAATTTCGAACCCAAAATTAAATTTACAATGATTAAAACCTGTCATGCCTTGAATCTTTGAGAGCTTGATATGTTGAACTCTGTGAAATCTCAAAGGAAATATTCCAAATCACCTTCCCACAGAAGTTGACTGTACATGTACATGTACTAACGAGTACATACAATTAAACATGTACACTGTACCTACATGTACATGTATACAACATTTAAAGAGGATGTGGAATGCTCGAAGACATTTCCGTCATTTTTCGGGTATATGTAGCCTAAGGTGTGATGAAATAAAAACGACTATTGTTTCTGTCATTAAATGAGTACAAAAGGTACTTTTGAGAGCTGTTTTTCAGGTCCAGTTTCGACCCGAACGAGCAACTGTGTAAATGTCGTTGTTGCGGGCAGCAAACAAAACACAGTAAATCATGAGGTAATAAACAGGACTCCCGATGCACAGTAGCATACACGAGTCCTGTTTAGTACGTCACGATTTACTGTGTTTTGTTTACAAAACACAGTAAATCGTGACGTAATAAAGAGGACTCCCGATGCACAGTAGCATACACGAGTCCTGTTTATTACGTCACGATTTACTGTGTTTTGTTTACAAAACACAGTAAATCGTGACATAATAAACAGGACTTCCGATGCACAGTAGCATACACGACTCCTGCTTATTACATGTACGTCACGATTTACTGTGTTTTGTTTGCTGCCCGCAACGACGACATTTACACAGTTGCACGTTCGGGTCGAAACTGGACCTGAAAAACAGCTCTCAAAAGTACCTTTTGTACTCATTTCATGACAGAAACAATAGTCGTTTTTATTTCATCACACCTTAGGCTACATATACCCGAAAAATGACGGAAATGTCTTCGAGCATTCCACAACCTCTTTAATACATGTACTACATAATACATATCGTCACTGTTTTGGCAAAGTGACTATATCCGTCCAAAACTGAGATTTTAAAGAATTTTAGCTTTTTGGATACATTACAATGTATATACATCTATATATATATGTCCTCTACATGATTACCAAATTTCAAGACAAAATATCATCTTTCATTAATAATGTTAATTTCACAAAGTCATTAAATGTGCTTGTAATTGTTTGTCTTGACGAAGTGACGATCTCTTGTCTGATTGATTTAACACATTCATGAGCTATATTTGGATTTAAGTATGCCTCTACAGTTTGCGTTTTGACGAAGTGACCAATCTCCATTGTAAAATATTGTGGTGGGCCTGGTGGCAAAGACTTCGGGGGAAGCAAGCAAAAAGGGGAAGGAGATCTAACCCCAGGGAGGGGAGGGGAGGTGTAATTAATATCACGGGCTCCAGCTCTGGCTCCGGCAACTTTCTGTAGGTCAGGCAGGGCAGGGTGGCGCCATTAATTGCCACTAAGTATAGCCTCTGCGGACATTCGTTTTCCTAAAGTGTATCCTAATTTATGGTTAGATCCGACGGACTAAATAAACAAACAATTGAACACAAGATGAACAACAACTCAAGAATTTATTTATTATTAAGCAAATACAAATATCAACAATAACCAGAAATAGTTAATAAACTACATGTACTCGAATGTTTTTGGCTTCTTATGCTGAGGTGATCCTCTGCACTCTCCCTCCAGAGGTGCAAATACTATAAACAAATTTCAATCAGACCTCCAGGAGGTGTCTGACAAGGAATAAAAACTATCACGCTCTAAGGACAAATTTTCTACCTACAGATTCACTTGTTTGCAGGTCACAAATAACTCATTCATCAATATCAAAATCCTCTTATCGGTCAAGACGATTGCCACACCCCAAGGCTTTTCAAGTAGCTTGCTAATTTGCATAATTGTCTAACTTGGAATTAGGAAATTTGGATTAGCAAGGACACAAGTCACAAACAATCTGGTGTTAAGGGCAACAATTTGGCTAGAGCCCGTGAACTTGAGGTTACTAATTAGCAACCAACTTGAACGTCCCTACAAATATCACCAAATGTGATATGCAAAGTATACATAAAGATTTACCAGCGCACCTAAACTAGAGATAAGCAGCGCCAAAAAATGCAAGTGCCAAATAGCGCGCTCTATGCACAAGTGAAATGCCAATGCGCCCAACTATATGTAAGCGCTCCATGCGCTAGCTAGTACACGGTACTCATTTACGTGCTGCAGCAGTAAACAAAATACATGGCAAGATTGTTGGTCGTGTCAGTAAACTAATTTCCGTTACACAGCCTCATTGCCCATTCGAGACCTGAGTGGTCCCTGTTCAATTAGTTTACGATAATAGCAACATTAAATCAAATACAAAAATTGTTCACAGTAATTCATTTGGCATGTTTGGTGGCGAGATCGTTTTCACATACATGTACACACATTGGCTCACTATACTTGCTTCAGAGATCAGCTTGTGTCATTGTCTGTAGTATTTGTTGACGGTCTCAGTTACCTTCGTCACCCTTCCCTCCAAGGCGGTCTCGAGAAACATCTTCTTCATGGTACTGGCTGCATTGAAGATGTGTGACGCCGCATTAGTGTAGCGTCAACATCATTCTCAGCTATAATATCCTCACTACCTGTAGCTGATGATGGCTCGTGGGCCTCCTGGGCCTACAACAGGGCCAATTAGGCTTGCCACTGGAGGGCGCTGGAAGGGACGTGGTAGTTGGTACCGCTGGAGGGGCTGGAGTTTCGGATGTCATCTGAAGGATCTCTGGATCATCCATGAGTAGATTAAGAGAAGCAGTTGGCCAAGGACTTCCCCTCAGGTTGCTGGGACGTTCTCCTCAAGGAACAGGGAGGATATATGAACGCACCATCCCGGGAGCTGGCTCCAATTCTAGAGATGGCTGGGTCTTCATCAGCTGAGGTTGCTTTCATCACCGCTGCGGTTGACTGAGGGGTTGCTTTTGGAAGCCCTTAATGCAAGCACCCCGATGACTACCATCGCTTGCCTGTTGGTCTGCTGTCGGAGGCTACTTGAAGGCGTCTGCCCCAAGGCTCATTAAAATGCCTCTGAGGTCATCCAGGTAGGAAGGGTAGACCTTCCCGCACTGCCACCTGAGGTTGTCCCTCAAGACGCTACCAGGGGTGGCCCATGTGTTACTCAGATGTGCCTGTTTTGTTTTATTCACCTGTAAGATTATCAACTGAATAAGATGCAATTGCAAACTCAACAAAGAAATAATTTACAACTACATGTATAACAGACAGTAAACAATTATTCTATGCAAATAATTTTATTTACGACACACACATCAAAATGAGGGTCAAATGCTAACCAATAGCGCTTCCAGCCAGCAGAGGTATACAATCGGAGGTATTTTAATTCACACAGACTCACGCTCACAATGGGAGGTGCAAATGTTTTAAGATTAATCAAATATATTCTTGTCCGATTTTTCTTTGATGCCCATACAATATCCCACTTCTGACACCATTTGTGTTGGTAAGGACTTTAGGAGAAGCAAGTAAAAATGGGGAAGGAGGAAGGGGTGGGGCCTCAGGGAGAGGGGAGGTGTAGTAAATATCTACGGCTCCGGCTCCTTCAACTTAGGTCAGGCGGTGCAGGGTGGTGCCATTAATTACCATGAAGAAAATTACTATTACATGTACATGTTATTCTAGGAAACTATATCCTAATTTGTGGTTATAGATCGGACAGACTAAATGAATAAACATTGAACACAACATATTGTGAATGAACAACAAGTCAAGAAATTATTTATTCCGGAAAAAACAAATATCAACAATAACTAGGAATAGTTAACAAACTACACATTTCCAAGTGTTTTCAGTTTCTGAATTGGCTCAGACTATAAGATCCTCTGCACTCTCCCTCCGGATGTGAAACTACTACAACCAAAATTCAATTGGACCTCCAGGAGGTATCCAGGCAACCAAACTATTCTTCTAAAATTCACCTGTTTGCAAGTCACAAATAACCCGTTCATAAAACTCAAAATGCTCTTACCAGTCAAGACGATTTCCGCACCCTAACAGCACATGCTTATAAGGCTTTTCAAGTAGCTCATTCCTCATTAATAACTGTCTGACTTGGAATTGGGAAATTTGGATTAGCGTAAGTAGACAAGTCACAAACGATCTTGAACTTCCCTACAAATATCACCAAATGATGTGCCAAGTACATAAAGATATATACCGACGCACCCAAACGTGAGATAAGCAGCTCCAAAAAATGCAGGTGCCCAACAGCGCACACTTCCGAGTTCTAGGCACTTTTATACATGTTATATTTATAAGTGCTCCATGCACGGGCTACTAGTACATGTACGTGTTGCAGCAGTAAACAAAGTACAAGGCAAGACACAGCCCGCCTATTCGAGGCCTGAGGGGTTCAATAACGTCTACGATAACAGCAACATTAAATGCAACAGTAATATTAAGCACGAAAATACAAAGTTTTATACAATGCGAATACATGTATATCGCCTCTGTTATTAATATCCATATCTCGGTTAGTACATACCATACAATCCCGCAATTTAACCATCTTGATTCTTGGTTTAAATAAATCATGGGACCAAAAACACTCCACACACTAGCTCCGCCTACACTTATCTAACTGTATTCGCATATGAGGTCGTACGCTAGAAATCTAACGCAGAATAAAGAAAAACATAAGCTTTCGCGGACGATTGGACCAAGGTGTTCAATCGGATCCAAATAATTTGCATAAAACAGTGGCCGCATGAGTCATGAGGTCGCTATTCGCGCTGTATGTTTAATGCACTATATAGCGAGGATATGCCGCCGATCGTTTACCGCGTACGGACGAATATACTTTGAATGTATGCATAAAATAATTCAAGAGCGATCTTCAACGTTACGAAACATCTGCCAAGTTGAAATGTAATGTGTTCAACTTTCGTGAATGCGAGTGCGAATAGCCGCCGTTTACGTCACAAACTCACATTCGTGTTACCATGGGCGCCTGCCCTTTTGAAAGGCATGTAATTGGAAGCAGAAGTATTTTTTTCTGGACATACAATATGTTAAACAGAATGAGCTGCTTACGATCGAACAAATGTAAATTGGCCCATAATTGGACGTGTCATGCTGTTTAAAAACATATATGCTGTAGGTCGCTTTGCGGTCACGCCGGTGTTCCAAGGGTTACCAAACCAACAATCATTGATCTGAAGCGTGATTGGCCAATGAGGAACATACATTATTCATACTGGATAATTTCCATATCCTCTCACCCCCCCCCCCCCCATTTGTCTGAAATTTGCGATGCAAAGTAAAGAAAAACATGAAACCCGGTGACATAATATAATCAAGGCTGTACGTGCTCTTATGGAGCACGGGTTGGACTGTCACGTAAGGGCAGTGCAGTGTGTACACGCATGTACATACATGTACAATATGAACTGCGGGATTTGAGCGTACGTGTGATGGAATCGGGTATATACCGCGATATTGCAGTACGGGTAATACTATGCGTGGCCAGCGATATGCGTTGCTGATACAGCACAGCCTTGCATTCAAGGCTATTTTCGTTTACATCATAGCGCTGCAAAAATAAACTTTGAGACTTACACTACGCGCGATGTCAGACAAACGGCGCCATGATGAAAATCCAGAGCGACACGTTATGTCTATACATGTAACTCTAAAATAAAATTATATTTTGACGGTTTGAAAAAAGGAAAGGCTTCTAATTTAAATTGTCAAGGTTCCGTTATGATTATCAATTTTTTTCGCAAAGAAACAGTATTGAGAAAAAGAAAATCGATAGTAGATAGTACATGTTGACCGATAATCATGGAACGAGGATGGCTGAATGACTTTTTCGTCAGTTTGCGACTCATGTATGGTTTCTTGACGTCTGCAATGCGATACTACCGTTGAGACCAAGTTAAACAAAATCATCACCAGGGCAAAAAATTCTTGCCGTGGATCTTGAGCGTAATGGACTGGTCTGTTCATCGCCACATGGCCTGTGAACGTAACATGTCATGCGTGCAACAATTTTTGGTACTCTTTGTTTCATACTCTACGCAAAAACTAGTGTAATTTCAATGTCAATCCAGATCAAAATGGGAAAATATTTAAGTTTATTACATGATTGAACTTACTCTCCAACTTACGACAAATGTTTTAAAATTTTAACTTTTAAATAAGGAATGAAAAATGTAACCTTTTGAAACAAAATCGTTGGGCGTGTGTATGTTGCGGGCGTTCGTTTTGTACACATAGTGATCACCAGTTGCAACCAGCCTGTGCGCAAGCCCTACCTGAACAATGAAAAGAGCAATGGGAAATATGAACATGCAGCTAGACCTCAAATTATGGGCTGGACTTGCCTCGTCGAGCTTGCTCCAAAATTCTCAATTTGTGAAAATGGTGGTGTCTCAGAATTAACAGAATCATCATAACATGACCTACTGGTGGGCCTTGACATTATAGACTGTGCGATGATAAACTGCAAACCACATGCACATTTTGTGGATTGACGTTGGTCGCACCGTGCCGGGCACAGCAACTCTACAATAATATTGAACCGCGTGAATGTCAAAACTGTTTTGGTTTATTTCGGTTTATTTCAAGTTTTTCATAAGATGACTTAACCGACCCGACCTGACCTGACCCAACAGTCACAGTTGCAAATGTAAAATCGAAACCGACCCGACTGAAATGATGGAAAAAATGGCTCGACCTGACCCGAAGTCCGTTTCGGGTCCAGTCAGTTTCGGGTCGAGTCGGTTTCGGGTCAGGTTTGCTCAACATTACAACAGACTCCGAATCGATGTGTGGTGACTGGAATAATATAAGTCTATCTGGGCCCCCCTACTGGGACTACATGTACAGAGTTTAGAGAAATTAGGAAACGAAATGAGAATTATTGAGACAGGACCCACCTCTGGATTGGTGCCATATGAAGTTGCATGATGGTGGCTGCAGAGTTCCACACCACTCCTGCAATCGCATACCTGTGCTGCCATCCTTCCCGCATCTCCCATGGTCGTGATATGATGCATGCCTTGCCAGACACTTAATTGGCTTACGTTCCCCACCAAATCAGCTTACATGTCCTGGAGTCTGTAGAAAATACAGAGGGGCACACATTAAGTTAATTAAGGCCCTACAAACTTCTGCAACCTGCTCATATGAGCATGATAATGCCTCATAAGTATAATTCCGGTCAACTCCCTGTTTCATCTCCAACGTATATTAATTGATTCCCAATGTTTGTGGGAGCAGTTCATCATGAAAACGCCCTCTCATGGCAGCAGGTTATCGCAGCTGTGGGTTAATTATAATCTACAACAGACTCGTGTGCATGATCGCGCGTGCGTGATCGCGTTCATCACTTTCACCCTCTATGTGAATGCACCATCTATGGCTGACGCACGCTGAAATGAAATGTCATGTACATCTCCCCTCTTTAGAAAATGTTCCGATCAAACTCCAGTATCGTAACAGGATGTCTTGCAACTGGATGCAAAATTTGAATCGTAACAAAAGGCAATTGGTCAGGGTTTACAGTTAACTCAACCGTTTGCCAATAACTCAATTTGAACTACTTCAACCATTTCCCAACTCAAGTTACTCAACCGTCGTGCCAACTCAACTGTTGAGACAAGTTTGTTTGTTAACCAACTGGAACTAAAAGGTTTAGTTTAGTTGACTCGACCATTTGCCAACTCGTCTGTTTTAAAATTCAACTTGAATTAAAAAGAAAGCGTCCAGGTAACTTGGAAGTAACTTGACCCAAAAATCAAAATCTAAACTTCCTGAGTCATGTTTGCACTGTAAAAATTTGCATCACCTTTGCAAAACATCTCAACAAATGTTTCTTCATATTGTCCCTTTTTGTATATTTCAAGTTCCATTTTACATGTACATGTATAATAAAATTGGAATGATTATTCACATGTCCTGGTACAAATACTCTGGTCCAAAGATATGCTGTCTGGGGAAGTATTTAAAAAAAGTGAATTACTGAAAACGCCTGCTTTAATACAGAGAGGACCTACATTTTTACCACAGCTGATTTTCATAGTTTTATTGAGGAAAATATCATTTCAGAGTGTTTATTCAAACTTAGTCTGAACTAGTAAAAGCACAAGTCAACAGCAAAAGAAAAGTACGGTATGAATTTCCCCGAATCAAAATTGGTGTCGGAAATGTGTGCCTGACCGTAGGTTCTTCTTAACGGAGAAATGCAGAACGACATTCATGTGGAAGAACACGACATGTCCGTGGCCTAGCCGTAGCCACTTGACCCCAATACTTTGCCTTATTAACTCGGCTGAGATGCCTTGTAAGAGCCGAACTCGTGCAGGCACAAATCTGCAGATCGCAGAGTGCTTCAAATTGTTTGCCTTCCGGTCATGGAATTCAAGTGTGGTCTTTGAAACTAAACTTTATCACGGAGTGCTGATGTGTCAATGGTTGCGCTTGATTAACTCGATGCATGCGATACGCAACTACTACAAGGGAGTTTGCGTTACTAAAAATGCAGTGACATTTGGGTATATATACCAGACTATTTGAGTTCGTTCCTCGGAATCGATAGCACCGCCTATCGAACTTTCAAAAGTAATTCAGTCAGATATGATCAGATCATATAAATTTATCTTTGATTTTTTTTTTGGTTTTTCCCAAAATGAACAATAAGGTTTCGTATGCTCGAGACCCCACAAGATATCGAGACTTTTTGTACAAAAATCGATACTGAGACCTGCCTCGAGACCTACATCACTGGTACTAAGAATGTTGCTTTTACCCATCAAACAACACCAACATTCCAGAGGCGCGAGACGAGCTACATGTGTACATGTGTCCCTTTTGTGTATACGATGACACAACGAATGAGTCGGACAATGGACGAGTCGGACAACGGACAAGTCAGACAACAGACGAGTTGGACAACAGACCAGTCAGACAACAGACGAGTCGGACAACGGACGAGTCGGACAACGGTCACGTCAAACAACGGACCAGTTGGAAAACAGACTAGTTGGACAACGGACCAGTCGGACAACAGATCGGACAACAGACCAGTCAGACAACAGACGAGTCGGACAACAGACCAGTCAGACAACAGACGAGTCGGACAACGGTCAAGTCAAACAACGGACCAGTTGGAAAACAGACCAGTTGGACAACGGACCAGTCGGACAACAGATCGGACAACGGACCAGTCGGACAACAGACCATAGTCAGACAACGGACCAGTCGGAAAATAGACCAGTCAGACAACAGACCAGTCGGACAACTGACAAGTCGGTCGACGGACCAATCGGACAACAGACCAGTCGGACAACAGACCAGTCGGACAACGGACCATAGTCGGACAACGGACCAGTCGGACAACAGACCATAGTCAGACAACGGACCAGTCGGAAAACAGACCAGTCAGACAACAGACCAGTCGGACAACTGACCAGTCGGTCGACGGACCAATCGGACAACAGACCAGTCGGACAACAGACCAGTCGGACAACCTACCAGTCGGACAACGGACCATAGTCGGACAACGGACCAGTCGGAAAACAGACCAGTCGGACAACCTACCAGTCGGACAACTGACCATAGTTGGTCAATGGACCAGTCGGACAACGGACCAGTCGGACAACTGACCATAGTTGGTCAACGGACGAGTCAGACAACAGAACAGTCGGACAACGGACCAGTCGGACAACGGACCAGTCGGACAACGGACCAGTCGGACAACGGAACAGTCGGACAACGGACCAGTCGGACAACTGACCTGTTGGACAACGGACCAGACAGACAATGGACCAGTCGTTCAACGGACCTGTCGGACAACGGACCATTCAGACAATAGAGGTCAGTATGCTTTTCTTTTCTTTTTTTAACAACCCTAAAAATTGTGTTCATTGAAATAGAATGACACAACAAAATAAATAAATTTTAATTGTTTTATACGAGTTTGCTTTTTGGAAATATTACAATTGAGTCGCAAAATCCAGTGAAACAAGTAATTTTTAGTGTCAAAAATGTTTAACATATCATTATTAAATAAACAACAATTTTTGAATTAGATTTTTAATCATTATCATTCCAAAAACATTATGATTTTCTTTCCAGGTTCACCACACGAGGTCAGCCGTGTCCTAGTTGGCCCACATGATCTCCGCCAGACAATGTCAGATGGCCCGTCGTGACATACGAAAAAAGAACAGTTTCAATCTTGCTTTGCACAACGCAGCAACATGGAACATGCGTACTCGCAATTGTTGTTTCTGTATGCCCGACATAATTATTTACCCATTTGTTTTTTTCAGAGAAAGGAAATTAATTGACAAGTACATCTTTTATTAATTAATAGATACAAAATTATTTTACTTTTGATGATTTGAAATCACGCAACCCAAGGTTTATGTCGAGATGCATACACACACATATAACGGACGAGTTGGCAAACGGTCGAGTTGGTAAATGGTCAAATTGGCAAACGGTCAAGTTGGCCAACGGTCTAGTTGACTCGAAAGTTAAGTCGGGTTGGTCAGCGGAAGAGTTGGTACGGCAGTCGAGTTGGTACGACAAGTTGGTACGATGGTCCAGTTGGTAAACAGTCAAGTTGGTTTGAGTCGAGTTAGCAAACGGTCAAGTTGACTTGTCATGTCCAAAATAGCAACGAAGGTCTGAGGTGCGCAGCCAGACGAAGATTCATCATGGTAAAACACTCGCATGCACATGTTCACTGTACAGCCATGCTGATGAAAGAGCGAAAACGATTAGGGGCTCAGGTTCACACCACTGCAAAAACAGGTTCACACCACTGCAAAAACACTGGTCATCGGAACTCTACATGTATACCGCAATAAACTGCGCCATATCAAACAGAGTACTTTGGTAGTTCGAACAAATGCAATTGACTGAGGGTTCCAGGATCAAATCCGTGATAGGCGGACACAACGTTGCCTGACCTAGGGTCAATGCGAGGTGAAAACAAAAGCTTGAACGTACCACACATCATGATAGTGCATTCAGTCCTAGGAATGTTTTCACCCCGCTAGCCGTGATGAGCAAGTTGCATAACTTAATGCATCCTCCTATGCCAAACCTTATTTTCTTTTCATTTTCTTCATTTTTTTGTCATTTACATATACTTTTAATTCATATTTTTAATCAATCCTACACTTTTTATTGAAGTAGATTTCATTACCTTCTTCGTGATCTTTGGCTTTGGGAAGAAATTTAAGGCAAACAAAAACCCAAGAATCATACGGTTGATAGTCGGGTTCCCAACAGCCAAAGATCCTGATATTGCTCTATTAGGTCAGGGAACTAGATGGTGTACTGCCGTAACAACAGCCACTGCGTTTCTAAAAAAATTGTCATTCTTGAACCATGGAGAAATTATTTCTCCATGCTTGAACATATGTTGAATTTGAAATCAGAAGTTTTTTCACTTGATATTTGCTGTGCATACTTACGTGTCATTAAACAGGGCAGCCCAATTAATGTGTCTGATACTAGCAAGCTGACCTCCTTTACTATAACCATTTCCTGAACACGTGAAATCTAGACTTTTTACTACATGTAGTATCAGCATACACAGTGTAATTGAGAGTCCCAAATTTTCGGACATTTTACAACACATTTGCTACAAACACCATCTGGTTATTGGGGGCGCTGTTCAAAGCGGATGATTTGGAAAGATTCCCATATCTGGCCAACACTTGTGCACAAACCGTATGAGACTGCTCTGAAAATGTCTAAGTGTTTTCTCAGTAAATATAGGCCTACTTCAATATTTTCCCTGCAAAATTTGACTTCTTATGACAATATTAAAAAAGAAATCACTTTCTGATGGCTGATCGGTCACTGAAGTGAAAAGTTAGTGATGGCCATAATTATGGCCAATCCTTCTGTCAAGAAAATGTTTGGAAAGATTGATTCCCATATATCTGGCTATCACTAATTTTTCCCTTCAGGGACCTATACCAGCCATAAAAAAAGTGATATGTCCTAAAAAGTCAAAGTTAGCAGGGAACTATTGAAGTATTTACTAAGAAAACACTAGGAAATTTTCAGACCAGTCTCATAGGGTTTGTGCACAGGGGGACAAGTGATGGCCAGAAATGGGAATCTTTCCAAATTTTCTAAGTACTTAACAAGATTGGAAATGTCTCTCGCTGTCCCAGATTAATTTCCCCTTAACTCCCTAGGGGTTGCACAAAATCATATTGAAATTGGAGGATTCAGGTTGCAGTGCTATTCTTTTCAACATTTTTTGCAATGACTGACATTTGAGATCTGTTATTGCAAGAGCATAAAGTGTGGGGTCAGGTTCAGTTGCAATGACTCAATGTCTACATTATCAGTACAGAATGGAAATGAAATGAGAACCATACATTGGGTAAGGGAAATATAGCCTTGTAAAAATGTCATGGAGGGCAATGCGAGGTAAACTACCCCCCCCCCTCCACACACCCCCCCTCCCCGGCCCCTGCCCCTCCCACAACCACCCTCCCATGGCCCCCATGAAACCTTGTCCCCCCAGTCGCGCACCCCCCCCCCCTCCACTGAGATTTTGAGTTTCTAAAAAAATTATCATTGATCTACATGTAGCCCCATAAATGTGGCCTATTTACTGGACTGCCTTCGTAAACATAGGCCACACATTCACATGTACAAAAAAAGTGTCGACTTTGCCAAATTTTGATTTTCACATTTAGGCTTACTTTGTAGATTTTTTTTGCTTTAGAAGCATTCTCACCCTCTATATAGGCTAATCAGAAAGTGCTGCCTTTTTCAGATGTTTAATTTTTGTGAAATTTCATGCTGAAATGTTGATACGCAAACGTGTGCAAATGTATCTGGAAATTTCACGAAAAATGGACATCTGAAAAAGGCAGCACTTTCTGATTAGCCTATATAGAGGGTGAGAATGCTTCTAAAGCAAAAAAACGTAAAAAGTATGCCTAAATGTGAAAATCAAAATTTGGCAAAGTCGACACGTTTTTTGTACATGTGGATGTGTGGCCTATGTTTACGGAGGCAGTCCAGTAAATAGGCCACATTTATGGGGCTAATCTACATGATGCCCCCCATTAAATGTTCCAGCCCCCCAGCGGCCCCCCCCCCATGAAAAATTCCTGGCCACGCCACTGCACCCTCCCCCCGCCCACCCTCAACAATCATTACAAAAATTGACTACATGTACATGGTACATAATTATGCTTTCTCGAAACTCACCTCGTTTACCTATGCAGCGACACATTATCAGATGGGCCGAATGTCGTCGCTCTGAACGCAGTCTGGCAGTCTGCCGAAACTGCCGTTTCTATGATTTCCATGGATCCAAAACACAAATTACAAACCGTTTGCAAATAAATTCTTGGCAAAAATGACTCTTTGCGTGTTAAGAAATATCATGAACGGGTCTCTGAGACATGATGCATCGGTCAAAATGAGATATTTAGGGGTTCAAAACGTTGCCTATCCGTCGAAGAAAACCAAGCAAGATGGAGACCTATAGAGTACGCATGCGCGTGACGTGTGAAATTTGAAACTAGGCCGAGGCACGTGCTTTGTGCAAAAAAGTAGTTATACGTACCGCTGCACCATTTATGATCTTGTAAGGGGCTATGAAAAAGGAACAACCGAACAATGTATTGAAACTGAATGTTTTTTTTTCCCTATTTTTCCTCCTCGAAATAATCATAATTGTCAGTTCTTTTTCTTTAAATTGTTTGACCGGGTTGCGTCATGCCCCTCGGATTTTTTGATGATGCAATTCCCCGGCATTCCAAAGCAATTTGAGAATAAACTGTATTATTTTTAGTATCACGCATGGGCGTCAATCCTTGGGGCGGGGGGGGGGGGGGGGGGGGAGGGGACAGGGGGACCTGTCCCCCCCCCCCCCCCCCCCCACACACACACACAGAGACCACAGAGCATTTTATAATCCATTTTTGGGGGCCCTTAAGCGGGCCCTGAACCTCACGCCGCGCCGTAAGGGCTTTGCGCTTCGCGCCATCAGTTCTGATCAAGGTATGTCCCTCCTCCCCCACTTTTGAGAAGCGATTGACGCCCCTGGTATCCGACGCCATTATTAAGCAGCTGAAAGCCCCCCCCCCCCCCCATGATGGTGGATCGGGGGATATAGCCCGCTCACCAAAACTTGCTCGCAATGTTCCGAAATTTCTAAAATGATTACAATCACATAGGCCTGGAGGCTGAAATTTAGAATCGTGGCGTGTGTTAACAATTGGAATACAAATGGATGAGATGGCCGTGCATTAGTCATAGCCAATATAAATATAATGGTAATGACTTGGAGAGACTGATTAAGGTTTAAGGATTGGTAGTTGCTTGGGGTGGTAATTAATTCGGAGGTTTAGTCTGTGTGTTCGTGTCCTTTTTGGTCATGGTAAATAAAGCTCGTTGTGTCTTGCCTTTTAGATCCCGATGTGTTTTCCAAACTGATATACCAAGAAGATCCCCTCTTTAAAACCGTCTTTCTCTCGAGGTGTTTTTTTTTCTTTTCGAGATGTGAATACGGAGACAGAGGGTCACACTAAAGGAATGCAGAATCATTCCTCCGAGGACAACATTTATCATTCAGTGAGTGTATGCGGTGACTTTTCTCAGCAATCGGTCACATCAGGTGCATCAATGGTTCAAGTTACTTCTTTTTTTGACAACTGTTGTCACGATGTTCACGCGTTTTCTGCATTTTTTTTCTGTAACAGAACTCGAAGTCTTCTCGATTCATCACAATATCATGGGGGCACACATCGCAAAATCTATTGCAGTTTTTCCCAGTTGGGCCCCATTGAATGTCTCGCTGTGTCCATTGACTTAAGAAATTGTAAACAGCTAGTAGGCCGAAGCCATAGCTAACTGGAAAAAAAATACAACTTACAAAGGCCGTTTCTGTTTGGGGAAGGAAAGGGGGCATTATCATAATATCCCCCCCCCCCCATTTAACCAAGCAGTTGACATTTATAGGTGAAACACTGAATAGAAAAAAAAGGATATGTCAGAATGTCCATTAGGAATGGAATAACAAGGAATGCTCCATAGTTCATTCGAATTGTTTATTGCTTGATAGGTTGTAATCAGTTTGTTAATTAATAACCAACTTGTGATCAAATTGACAAGAATTTTAATAATTATAATTATTAATTAATTCATAACTTCGAATCGTTATGACACTTCGTCACCGTTTTCACGAAGAGCCACATATGTCAAAAATAACATTTTTTTCGATTTTGATTTTTTTTCTCAATATTTTACTTTAAAACAATGTACGTATTCATTTTGACATGTTTCTATAAGCAAAACATCATTAATTTCCAAGTTACATTAATGTTGCAAGGGGCCAAAATCTCGATAAATGAATTTTGCGAAGAGCCACATACATATTGGCCCTTTGAACGCGTACAAAACCCATTGCACGGAAATACGTAAAAGTAGGTCAAATGAGATTTGCGTTTTCACGAAGAGCCACATATAATATCTATATCTTTGTAACATTTTCAGCTGCGCGCGCGTACTCACTCGCGCCTATGGAAATACACATTGAACAGAAAGGGCCAATATGTCGGAAACCTGAATTTGCGTTTTCACGAAGAGCCACTACTAATTAATTTTCACTAATTAACTGCTGAATTAAGTCTTATTACTGGGTTCATGTAAATATTCAGCTCACACAGAATAGTGTGATGGTTTCCTTGCTTCACAAAGTTGTTGCAAAGTGGTATTTTTTGCAGTTTTAAAATATGAGAAACTTCATTTGCGATTATCTCGAAAACACTTTTTCTTCAAAATCGACATATGTGGCTCTTCGTGAAAACGGTGACGACTTGGTGTAGCACATTCTCCTGGTCTGCAAATAATGACAATACGTCACGATGACGTAATAGAAATTGATTTTAAAATAGTTTTAGCACCTTCCACGGTAGTGCATGTAGCTTCTGTTGACACGTGATTTTTTTTATAAAGACTATATATAAACCTACACTGTGAACAAAAAAAAGGAAAAATACATGTTTTGAATATCCCCATATTCCCCTTCCTTTCGGCAAAAAATGGCAAGAAAAAAATCTCATCGGCAAAAAAAACTGCACAGTGTTATAAGTGAAGGTCGAATCGTTACTGTAGGCCCTATATGCCACATTTCAGCACTTTAACATAGTTTGGATGAATTTCTATGTAACCATTATTTAGGTAGAGGGAGTTTATTTCCTGGATATCGACCCGGGGTAGTCTGAACTACAGTATATACAATAAATATTGATGTGTGCAATGGTAAGAATAGTTTATGGCGGTTACAGATATAACAGGCATGCAACTGGGAAATCACAAAAAAGAGGAAATTCAAATTTTCCCCCGACTTTGTACAGTGTTTTTCTATTTTCAATGGCACACATGGGAAGTAAAAAAAGAGGAAATCAGCTGATCCGAGGAAAAGTTGCATACCTGATATAATCATCTTTTCGGCAAGGCAAAGCCTAGGAAATTAACATACCATCTAACACCGAATTAAATTATTCTTTATGTTGCACAAAATGTTTAATACGGAATTATTTGTTTTATACAGCGCCTGAATAAATTCTTGAATCTGATTATGTGGTAGTATGACAGTACAATGGAACTACTATTTACCGTGGAATGGAACTTCTATTTTTGCGATGAAACCGGGCCATGTGTTAACTTGGGATCAATCATTTTAATGCCACGTGAACAACGACCTACCAATCAGATGACAGGGTTTTATTCAGATATATTGATTTATTCAGATTTATTCAGTATAGTGTTAATTAATGACTTATCAAAGTCTTCACATATGAATTATTTATATAACATACATCATTTTAAAGGCTTAATTTTCAAATTGTTTCAATGCATGTTGGTGTCCCGAATACTTTACTTCAGTTTTTATTTTGCCAATTATTAAGATTATTCCAGAGCTGATTTGGTATTCATGCGCTTTTCCATACTCATAAACAAAAACTATAAATGTGAAATTACATGTCTGATTACAGCGTCACAGCAACATGGTGAATTATCTTTATCGAGTACCAGTCAGCCACTGCAAGCTGCCCGTCTGATGTGAGTGTGATACCCCGCGGGCTGTGCAGACCCTGTGCGATGCACTTGAGAAAGCCACCTTGAGGGTCATAGTGGTGGATATGACGCGTGCTAGGACCATTTTCCATTGCAACATAGATACCTGAGCTATCAGTGTACACACCGTTGCAGTATTGTACTGGTTCATCATTCATGGTGGGTTTGATAGTGCGTCGTGTAGTGCCATTGCCATCAGCCACATCCACTGCCTGCGATTTATCACTGATGACAATTCTATCGTTGCTGTCATCAACAGCTAGAAAGTAAGGTTTAATCTTGACTGGTATGGTGCGTAGGAGCTCACCATCAGTGGGGCTGTGCTCAGTCAACACCATTCTCCTGGCATCACCCACTACGATGGTATCGTCATTCTTGACTGCCACAGAGTGGAGGTCAACTGCGGTCTTATCGACCTCGTCACTCGGCGGCACCGTTGGGAACTCATATGCCAGCGTGTTGTTGCTGTTGAACACCTTCACATGGGATGCGCCTTCCTCAACAACCACCAAACGATCGCCGGCGCGGGTAGCTGCGATGCCGAGTGGACCTGTATGAGTCACGATGTAAAAACAAACAATAGCTGTCAAAGTTCTATTTGGATTGGAACTTAATTTTTTTTTAAATCAACATTGAAATCTGAAAGAGTGATAATTATGATTCGCGTTTGTTAAGTTACAAGCGCAGAATGGTCGGACCGCATCTATTTCATATGTGATAAGCTTTGCAACAATAATCAACTGAAAATGCATTAACACCTTTTCAACCTGCAACAAGAGGGCGCTCTAACATTTTATGCATCACCGGTAGTTTTTTTTTCTTCTAAAGTACAACCTAGCCAGATCCAAAAGCAAGTTCACATCTTTTTCCACTTTCAAATTATAACGCACTTCCGGTTTGTACCAGAAGGAAGGGTCTCGTGAATTTGCACGTAATATCAAAAATAAAGACGCTTGATTATTCTATCAATTCCTGTAAAATCAGATATCTCACAGTTGATTATATATATTGATTTTCAAGGATTAAATCTAGAAACCTTTGATGCTTGTAATCTGACTCGATGACGTCATCGTGACGTCATTCCCAGAAATCTCAAGAGCTATTTAAACTGTGCTATTTGAAGCAAAACTCTGGATTGCAATTGTTTAACCCTAAAGGGGCCGGGTTATTTTGACCATCCCTCAGCGGGGGGGGGGGATTCGCCCCCCCCCCCCCCCCCCCCCCCCCGCCTAAGATCTTGGCGATCGAGTGACGAAAAATTTTGAAACTCGGCACATGCATAGAGCAACTCTTCCTAAACATATCCAAGAAATTTCATGACTATAGGTCAAAGGGTTTTGGAATTATGGCTAATTAATTATTCATATGTACGAATGGCAATTCTGCTCTGTGTACACGACGTACATGTATAT